ATATATATATATATATATATACATACATACATACATGTACATATATCTGTTGTAATTGTATTCTGTTTAATGGAAGTGAATAAATGTTCATTTGATTTAATGTCAGGCACTTGAGTACAGTGTATACAGTATCCTACAATCCAATGCTATGCTACTGTAATGAGGCACTAACAGATTGATAAGCTATTATAATACTCTAAGCATGATACTCAAGGCTAAAGTACAGTGAATTTATATCAATCATATCTCAATCACTTATACTTGATTTACTACTAATGTATTTTATTTGACTTAACTACATTTCAGATGTTGCAAACTATTTGACATTATGTGTACTTTGGACTTCTATTGTACATATTACGGTTGTGATTGAATTATAGGACAAGTGTATTAAATTGAGTTTTAATGTTAATTTCAAGGAAATAAATAAATTAATAAACTAATTATGCGGGAATATCCATAATTTTCATTATTTTCTTGCACACATATGGGTGGGGAAGGGAGGGGCTCGACAGTGTAGGCCAGCAGCGTAGCTAGGTGAAGACGGGCCCCAGTGCAAGATTAATTTCCCGGGCCCTTTAATGTGAAGATATTTTAAATTATAATTTTTTTAGACTTATTTATGAATTTTATGAATGGACCCCTAAGAAACAATTTCTAGTAGGTCAAATAAGCTAAGCATGCTAAAAAAACATAACCGAAACGGACTAACACAGAGGAACCAACACTATCGCGCCATTCACCTGCAACTTACTTTCTTTAGTCTTCGTTCTTCTTCTGTCCGTCTTTCTTCAGGAGTGTAACTACAAAGAGAAATATAATTCATAATCATTTGAAGGGTCATAGGGACAACATGAGTAAACACGGGCAATCACTGCGTCGAAAAACGGTCGCACAACTGCTGGCCAACGAATCTAACTCCGCTCGCTGTAAGTGCTACCCAACGCGATGCAGTTGGTGACAGCCTGAACAGATCGTCATTAAAAACGATCTGTTGCGCATGTGTCTTGTCGTTGCGTACTCCATAGAATTGTGTCTGCCGACGACCGACGGGTACAGTGTGTGCCCAGCTTACGGTATAAGTATGGCAAACCCATGTGCAACTATCAACAGAAATTCTGCTCAATAAATGAAAATGATGATTATGACGACGAGTGGAACTGATAATTTGTGAATTAGAATGGCAGTCTTTACAGTATACAGTATTCCAATTTTCTCCCAGGGCTCTGGGATTAGTCTGGATTTCTTTTGGTGCGGAAGGGGGTCCTATGCCCCTTTGACCTTCAATGGCACTACCACTACTATTCGCTATTTGTATTTAATCAGACTCAACATTTGTTGTGATTTGAGTATCATTTAGCACCAATCATACCAGATGGGCACATCCAGAGACTACACAAAAAACTTGGCTAGTAAGGATGACACATGATTGCAGAATCGCTTGTGCCTGCCAAGGCTGACTGTTCCATTATATTTTTCGAGGGATGTTCTCTTCTGGGAGAGAATAGGCAATTACTTGGTTATCCACTTATGTTCACGAAGTAGATGATTGTATTCCGAACCAACTATAGTATGTCGTCGTAAAATATAGTGACAATCATGCAAATTACAGTATGTCTCATCAGATTAGGGAAAAATTGGCTTTTTTTGAAAGTGGTATCATAAATGTGTACATCGTAAAGAAAAATTAATGCAAGTTAATCGCCCTTTATGGTTATTATTATTACCTGTAAATATAATTATTTTAAAAATAATATTTAGGTGCTGTATTTCAACAATTGTGTTTTTTAATTTGGCACACAAGTGTCATGCAACACACCTTTAAAAAACCAACACCTGAAGATTTTGGTTACCTAGGTGATCTCTGTCTGAAGATAGAATAAAGCAAAGGTCACTGACCTATCAGAATCTACTAAAACCGCAAAACCTGTGCAGCAAAGCACTCTGAACGTTACTGAAGTGATTTTTATAAACACAACTGCCACCAGTTCATTATTATGCAAAACAACAGAGTTACCAATTTTGAGAATACAGTATTTGCATGGAAGATGTCAGTTTTATATTATGGTCACAACTTATTACCTTTATTGCTATAGTAGTTGTAGTTAGTATGCTGTGTGGATTAAGCTCAGCTACAGCACATTACACAGAGTAAAACATAATACCAATGAAAAAATCTGAACCTAACATATTAAGCTTTAAACCAACAACTGCTCATATGCAGTGCATAGATCAAGATATCTAATCAGACAGATAAATTAATTTTGACTGATTAGTTTTTATTACAAAATGATTGGTTACCACCAAATTTATAGATGTACCTTGCAAAAAAAATACAAGATTTTACTGTAGCATTATTTTTTAGTAGCCTCATATTCATAAACATAAGAAAATATTTGATGGTTTTCCAGATATTAGTAGTTTCCTAACCGTAAAAATCAGATCACGATTGCATCACTCTTAAAATGTCGTCTTATAGGACTGATCAAGTCGTACAGTACTTTAAGAAGACAATTTGGCGGTGCTTAGAAATATACAAGTAGCATTTGCGAAGATTATAATCACAAGGCATTGCTTCTAGTAGTGTGTTGTAAAGATAAGGCACGGATTACTGTAGCATTCATAAGTGTATATTAAGGATTCTTGCAGATCGTTTCTCATTATCATGGGTTTTACTGCAGTTAACTGTTAGAAATATTTTAGACAAAGTAAGCTGTACCGGTAAATAATATATACAGGGTGCAATTGTAAATATATGTGGAATCGATAGAAAATAAGAGCTGAGCTCAAAATATATGAAATACAATAGAAATATAAACAAGCAAACAATACAATAAAAATATCAGTAAGATTACAATGTGATAAATGTGAATGGAAACCGTAATTGTAGGTTAGTATTATACAGTAGTAGAGTACCTAGGAATAGGATAAATTTGTGTGTATCAAAGTAGATGGGGAGTAGGCTGCAATAAAATTAAATTTACCCCTTGTGCAATTCAGTTCAAAGCTTCTTCTTAAATAGAATAAAATGTTCATAAGCTTAGGATCGTCTACAGGCATAAGTTTTATTTAATAAATAATGCATGATAAATCCTAAAAGATAACTTGAGTAATACTGTACAGAAAATGCATACAGATGATTTGAAATAATATAGAATGAATAAATAAAACACTGCCAACCCCATGAATTTTTATTTGACCAAAAAACATTCCTAAATATTGTCATGATGAAAATATATGTACTGTACATCATGACTATATATGGGCATACATTGTCAGTCTTTCTGTTAAAGAAAATTGTGAGAGAGCTTATGAGATTCAGACTTCCAAAGTTATGAAATTAGATATTAAATTAACATAATTATTTTTTATCATTAAATAAATGGATTATTGAAAATAATGGGGAGATTTCGCAACAGTTGAACCATGCATACAAATAATTTTTAACAAAGCACTATTTTTAAAGCAAACTGTAAACATGTCTATAGTGATACTGTAATTAAAAGTAATAACAACAACTACAGACAGGAAAACTTTCTTTTTGTTAGGATCAATATTTTCACTTTTCCATTACAAAGCTAAAGTACTTTCACTTGAGAGATTATTTTGGTAAACATTATAAAATACATTGGTTATTTTAAAACTTGGAGCTTTTGATTTTTGTCAAAAATTAGTAAAACCTTCCCCAACACACTGTAGCGTTTATTACAAGTATATTCCCATGGGTAAATATATTTGCAACCAAGTGTACGAATAATGGTAATATTAGATTCATCAGTAAATACAGTGATACAGTAAGAAAGCAGTGTGTTGTTATTTCCCTTTCCACCAATGAAAGTCTGTATTTTGTTTACTTATAATTCAACCTGATTCTTACCCCAAATCTAAATGCTGAATTAATTTCCTCTGTCTGGAAATAAACAAAAGTCATTCAAATCTGAAAAAGTGAGCTCATGTGAAAGAAAGCTTTCGGCAACGTGACAGCAAGGCTTCAGACTTTGAATAAAAAATTATGAGCACGGATGTACTACATGAGTCTACCTTTACATAAATACTTCATTCACTTCATGCGCATGTCTTTGTCTGTTGAAAATGAATATTTCAAATAAAAAAATTAATTTTATTTTGGTGTTTTAGTGCACATGCCACTGTGAAAATTTTAACATTAAAAAATAATATTTTTAAAAATTTTCATTCTACCTGGTTCTACCATCATATTTATGGTATTTATTTTCAAGCAAATATAAAGAATATTATATTTATCTATTTAATGAACTGCTTACCTACATTACCACATTCCACTCTTTATACAACACAATAGTATCCAAAGTCCACAGGCCTAAGGCCACCCTCTTTCGCCTCAGGAATTTTTTTTATTTGGCGTTATTTCTTTAAACAAGGTAATTAACGTTTTTTTTCACTTTGTAGGTTTGTCTTGCTTCGACAAAAAATTGGTAACTGGTACGTTGAGGATGTGAATAGGCCTGGTGAGTTGAATTTTCAGCATGACTAAGAACGCAGCAGGACCACAGGAGGTGGCTCATCTCATAATGTATGCTTGATTCTGTAGCTGATGACCAGAGCAGGAATCAAAGCATGAAGGTCCTTCCAAATGTAAACTATATAAGGCTTATTATCTATTAAATAATGTATCATAACCAATTAATCTATATTGAAAAAAAAAATCCCTCTAAAAACTCTCGCGTATTTGACACCAACATTTAGCAGGCATTGAATGACTATTTTTAAATATAAACATTCTTCAGTTGTTCATTACATCATGTGAATGGCTGAGATTGAACACTTGCATTGAACATTCGTAAATGGCCAAAAAGGATGGTACACTCATTTTCCCCCTCCCCTATCAAGCTGTTAAATTCAAAATTTTGTACCAGTTTTTTGTCAAACATTCCTTCAGTGTACAGTATTACAGAAAAATTATTTGTACAACATATATCAAGATTTTTTCTTCCAGAGCTTGGCTTTAAACATCGAGGTTTTCTTAAATATATTTTAGTGGTACAGTAGTACATTATTATGATGTAGTGAACAATTCTGTATGCTTAAACAAAAGCTTCTCTCTGAAAAGGTTGTTATTCTTGATCGAAAGTCATCCAAATTCCATTAAAAACCAACTTATTTACATTAGACATATTTACAAGTGGATAATAGGGTTAAGTAAACGCCTATATTTTGCCAACACATGAATTATACTCAATTACAATAACAGTACCAGTCAGCGATTTTCTTAAAATATGCAACTCAACCCACAACCTTTTGTAGGCTAGCTTTGTGGCACTACAGACAAAAAAGCAGCATCGTTTAAGCATGTCTAATTCCTTCCAAGTAATTTTTTTTCAAATAAACAACATGAAGAACAAAAACAAACCACCTTGACGGACTACATGTCTTTAATTCTAGTTGCGGTATGGTAGATCTTCTACATAAATTGACAAAAACAAGTCTAGACACGTCACATAAAATAGTATTTAATTGGTCTGTGATGTTCATATGTACGGTATGTACAGTACGTGCTATGCCAACGTGCCACTGAAGGATGAGATTTGTTTGTTTTTATTCAAAACCATAATCACCAGAAGACTTTTAATGCTGATAGCTCAGGTAAACCTTAAGTATAAAGGCGACAGGAAGTCCCAAGACGTTTGCTTTCAACTTGCGAAATTTAGCCGAGGTCTGTGTTGATTTATGACGTGATGGGGAATTAAGTGAATTGTGTGAGATCTGACAAATCCATAATGAACTCCAAATTGAGAAATACTGTAATTGGGAACAGCTGATCTGAATCCAGACAAGAAACTGACTCAAATACTAATAAAATAACCAAAGTCTATTTTTATGACAATAATAATTTGATTTGGGAGAGGGGAGGGGGGCAGGAATGATGGGAGGTGGCCTTAAGGATGTGTCAAATAACAAACAGCAGGATAAAAAATTTTAAACATGCATACAGGATTTTTTTAATAACTAGGAGTTTCTTAATTCATCACATAATATGATCATTTATATGGTTGCTCTTAAATCGCATGTGTTGCAATAATATTGATGTAGTTGTAAGAATGTTATTTTGGGATCTTGGTACCTACAGTATGCCCAGTTACAGGGCACTAGAATATGGCATTAATTACCATAGAGGGAGCTACATTTGGATTAGAATGCAGGTAAAACATCCAAGCGAGTCATTCAGGAGGCTAAAAAGGGGAAGTGTTCATAATAGATATTGCATGTTGCAATTTCTCAAACTGGGCAAGGGCCAAAACTTAAGTTTATGTACAAACAACAGTATCTCGAAGCTGTTGAAAAATTAACACTACTTATGTAGGAAGTCTCACTGGCAGACCGACTATCTATTCAACTTACCTTGCTAGACTTGATAATGCTTGGAGATCAATCGAGTGAAATAGTTGAGAGCGATTCAGACCAAACTCTTCACAGGCATTTAGAAATATTGATATATTATTCTGAAAAAAAAAAATGTAATTTAATTTATTATATTTAGAATAGATTAGAATTACCGTATAATGGAAAAGACAATGATGATGGAGAAGATGAGTTGGTACTGGTATTGGTGGAAAATCGATAAAAATGTTAGAAAGAAAATGATTAGTATTTAAATGATGATCATAGCTTGATATAGGCCTGAATACAGAATTTTCAAAACACACTCTGATTGGCCACACTGGATCAGGTGATTACTGTAGTTCCAACAAACATCCGACTACATTGCAAATATCTAGCATGCACCATTGACAATGAAAAATTCCAAGATCCTACCCAAGTTGGCTTAGCATACACATGGGATTGAGAGCACAGTCTATAGGGAGCTTTTAGCTCTGTTCAGTGCCGACTTCAGCTTGAGACCAACACTTGTACAATTGTGTTTCCCCCCTGTGGTTGGTTATGATTTATAGGGTATGATGACCTTCAGGTAAAGATATTTTACAATCTAAGAGAAGTTAAATAGCTATACAACAATAGCTTGTATTCCTTTATGTATACTGTACTCTGAACTTAAATTACAAATCAAAATTTTTGTTAAGACTTCTGTACATTAGTTACATGGTTTGAAATTTGTCCTACAGAATTTATGTAGAAAATGGTAAGACAAAATAAACTGTAATATAAGGCCTATGTTTTCATTAGCTAAATACTATATACCTCAATTCATATTTGTTCGACTTATAATTTATCAAAACATGGAGATAAAATAAAATTTTAAAGTAATTTTATACCTTTATGATTAAACAAGTTTATAAGATACTATCAATACAGTACTGCCAAATAAATTGAAAATTAACTCAGAAAATAAATATTGAATTACATATTTCACTGTAATTTGTGTCTCAATAAAGTTATTAGTCATGCGACTAAAATTATAATGTGAAAAAAAAATGTCATCCCTTAACTAAAGTTTTAAGAATGAATACAATTTCTAGTTCTTTTCATATTATCAGTATTCATAAATTTCTACCGCCAAATTTAAGGATGATCAAATAACTTCAATTAGATTAGTGTAGTATAATATTGAATAAATTAATTAATAAATTAACAATTAATTATTAGTATTATTAATGTTGGCAACGCAGATTGAAGGTTACTGGTGAGAAAATCCTTATTTTTTTGGCTTTACACAAATGAAATTTGATACTAAAATTTAAGGATGTTTTTAACAGCAAAATGGAAAACAATCACTTGGGTAATTCTTGCTGCACGCTTTGGGCAATGCAACTAAAAGAGAATGTTCAACAGGCTGTTCACACTGGGAATGTGTTATGTTAAGCAAATTGAATCAAATGTGAACAGGATTTAAGCTAACTCTACAATTATATTGGAGGATTCCAACAGTATTGTGTATTTAATATAGACATGCACTGCACCATGAATGCAATAAATATTCCAAATGGAATATTCATAGTCAATTTATTCAGAGAACTACGTATCCATGCATCTAAAAATATATTATTTGCACAATTACACACAAATATCAAGCCAGCAATCAGGTCTTCCTAGACTACAGTATTCAGTGAGAGAGCTTATTGAGGCATGCTATAAATAATCATGTAAAAGTCACTCAATTCTATTCCCATTCACATTTAAATCTACTAAAGATGATTACTTGTAGTATTAGAGTAGATACAGAGACTTAAGTACTCTTTAAAACCCAAAATCCTATTGATACGAGCAAGAAATCCATGATGCTGTTGCACAAAACTTGAATAACAACACAATAGGTTTATATACTGCATACAGTTACTCACACCTCTTCTTATAATTATAGTCTGGGTTTCTTGTTAAGCTTACTATTTATTTATTTATGTTCTAAATCAATGATTGATTGTTTTTAGATGGGATTTTCACATGGACAAAAACCTGGTCTTTCTGCTAATTCAGGCGAAAGTAGAACCTAAAAAAACAATCGCGATTATTGAATTAAAAACTAATTTATTGTTGTGTATTTCAATAAGTTTGACTCATGAATGGTCAAAAACATGACCGTAAAGCCGGACAAGTACTGCGTCATATGACCGTCGTACGACGAATCTAACCCTGCTCGTCGTGAGCGATAGCCAATGCGACATCGTCCACTGATTTTCGGTGGCAGACTTATATGCAAAACAAGATAGAATTGAGCCACTGTAATGTGACATGTAGTAAGCATTTTAGGCACATGATATTAACTACACATAAAAATATATTTAATATGAACTACTGAAATTTATTGAAAACTGTTTTTAATATTACAAACCCAGCCTTGCAATCAAACAAGTAGGCCTAATGCCAATGGATTTAAAATTATGGTGCCTTGTAAACCAAAGGCTTTTTTTCAAGTAAATATATTCTATTTAAAACTGACAGTACAAAAACATTTACAATTAAAACTAAACCAATATAGTATACACTTGTTGAAACTAACCAAAATTGACTATCAAAACCATATTCCAATTGAACTTACTCATGAATTTCACATTATCATCAATCACTAATGTTCTAACTGTGATGCATGGTAACTTGTTTGACTGGATGGATACAAAATCTCCACAGAAGCCTACTTGGAATAGGATTCTACTGCGCAATACAAATACAGTAGCCTTATTATTATAATACCTGTCATTATTCATATCCTGAAATATATCGTCTACAATGCGAAGCGTTTCCAGAAAGTCACTGAAGCGTAACATTGGGCTAGTGGACTGGAATGAGATCCACACGTATAATATTGTGTTATTGAAATAGAAATCAACCACAAGGTTTATTCTTAGAATGTACCTGGATAATTAAACAGTGGCACCTAATATACTACCATGCTACTTGTACGTCATGATATCATGTGACAACGCTTCGTTACCGAGCAAATACCACCAAGCGGTTGTTACCGCTGAGTATCACCACCAAGCGGTTGTTACCGCTGAGTATCACCACAGCTAAACCACAGTTTCTCGATAGCTTTTTTAACTTGTATGATCAAAACCTGAATCAATTCCGATTAAAAGGATTATACAGTAGATATTCGAAGTACAATAGAATGTAAAGTTTTAAGTTAATTAAAAACAACTAGATGAAAAAATAAAATAAAGATGACAGTAGAATTGATTTATAATATCATGGCTTCACCTACAGTATGAAGGAATTCAGCCGTATCGGAGGATTGGATAGTGTTGCTTAGTAACAAATTGGTGTCTTATGGTGTTAAGACATGAATGCCGTAGTACGCTATAGTACATTTTGTATGAAAGTGTCATACTGAATTGATATAAATGATCCTTCTCAATGTTTGTTTCCAAAATCCATGAAATTTCCTAGGATATAAATGTAGCCTTGCTGGTTAAGAAACTTGCATTCTGACACCAGAGTCTTGGGTTAAATTTGATACAGTGGTGAAAAATTGTCATTTAATTGAAAAGGAGATTCCTTGGGTATATGCTCACCCTAAAGCTGTAGCGTAAAGATGGGGCTGGGGGCCCTGTGGCTGGGAGTGAGGGACTTTTGGGTCCCGGTTGCCAATTCCATAGTGCAATTTTAAATGTGCTTGCATTTTAATTGTTTGTCATTGCATTCTAAATGCTTTTAACAAAAAAATAAATGATATGATATGAGTGGTGAATCCAGGAAGGTTTAATACTGGGCCCAGAGAGAGACTGACTGATAATGGGTCAATACCACCTCAGTCCCACTATGGTTGGGGCTGAGGTAAGAAAGTTTATGATTGCGGCACCTCTAAGTGGCCGGAAATGGTACTCACGGACGTAAAATATTAAAAATTCAGGGGCCCCTTTAATTCGCCACTGGATGTAACATGATATACAGTCGGATGTCAGAGACACATTATCCTGTTACAGTATGTATCAACAAGGCCCTTTTGGGTCAGGGTGCTGGATTGATAACCATGTGATTATAATTTATAGGGGCCACTTAGGGACTCCTAGGGGACGGGGCCCTGCGGACCGCCACATGAGAGTGCATACAATACGAATGGGCTTATACCAAAAGAACTACTACTACCACTAGTATTTATGTTTGTTTAATGGTGGTGATATAATTTTGACTCAGGAAGCCATTACTTTTCATTCAATAATAAGCTATACTGATTTGATGTAATTTATTACTTCATAAATTACAGACTGTGCTAACTAATAAATTAAACTTATATGTTTAAAGAAAAAAAAAATTATTGACTACAGTATTAAATTATCAATCACAAAATTATGTAGAGTAATCCATGAAAAAATTGAATTTTGTTCTAGTCTGCTTCAGTTGGTATTTTTAAAATGTTAGTTATTTCCAGCACCAATTATAGAACAGCAGCTATATTTATACTATAGTAAATTAGATTTATTGATTCAGTAATAATTTACAAGCTGAAGTTTGGCAAATATTTTGTAACTTCATCATGAGTGTCTGCTGCTGAGCAACCTGCCCTTGAACTAGTGGAAAGGTATAATTTGGCTACCAGCAGGATTCTACTTACAGTTCCTCTTGTTATAGGGCAAGTGCCTTCAAGCCTATAATACAGAGGTCTTACTGTAGGCTAAAGGTATAATGTCATTGCCATTTGAGAGCCATGAGAAACCAAGCTTGAATGATGAAAGCAAACATTTTGCAGACTTCATTCTATTCAGGATCAACTACCGCAGATGGCATACCATAATAAGGGTTCATTATGAGGCCAAATGAACTGAAGATTTTGTGAAGTACTGTAGCCTGCAGTACTGTCTACCTAGCTGTAGAATAATAATTAAGCACATGCATTGTCATAGGCCTTTCTCGCACACAGGCGCCGGCAACCTTATCTCTTTGTTGCGCCTTTTTTTTTTACTTTTGCCTATGTGATATATAATGAACATATATACAATACTGTACAGTAACACATACATATAATACAAACAATATTGTAACTTATTAGAAGTGAAGCATGAATTGAAAATGAGGTAGAGTAGAAAGAAGTTGACCAATGAAAAGAAAT